GGCTCCGAAAAATTGGAAACCGGACTCCAAACGGGCAAAATGGCCTACGACCACAAAACATAGCCTACGGCCACTGAGAGATGATCTACAAGACCTCTCCCTCCCTTCGCGAAGAGAAAACAGAGAAAATCGAGCCTGGTTCGCAAACCGAGGAAAAGCATGAAAGGGTCCGGAAGTCTGGAGGCAAGGCTCGCAGCCGAGACTCTGAAACTTCTGAACGAGCACATTATGCAAGCGCTCAACTGGTGACGTCTGAGTCTCAAGGTCGGTCAAAAATGGGGTGTCTACAATTGCTTTCTCTCTTTCTTGCCTTTGTTGTAGAAAAACCAGAGTCCAGGGGCAGAAAGTGGTCGGCCGACCAGGTTTTCTGGTAGGCCGATCACCTTTTTTGGTTTTCACCATGAGGGGTGGTCGGCAGGTGTTTCCCAAGCCAAGAGCTAGTCGGCAACCTTCCCCAGGTGGAGTTTCAGCCTCCTGGAGCTTTGTGTAAGTTTCTGAAATCAGCTGCAAACAATGGCGGGACAAGGCATCGCGATGGAATTTACCGACAAAACGTATCGAGCTTGCATGCAGTCATTGTCATCCAAAACAGAGCCGGGGCAGTCCATTTGCATGCCAGTTTATAGCTTACTTAGCTAATTTGTTAGTTAGTTAGTGGATGTGTAATAATTAGCTGTAATTCGTTATTCATTTCGAACTGTATTATTTATTCGGACCCTCCGAGCGAGGGCACAACTGTAATAAGTGTGCATGCGTGTGATGTATGTCTTCCAACCTCACATCTTTCTCCCTTTTATTTATCAGCTTATGATGGTTAGATTAGGGCATGTTTCAATTAGCAAACAGTATGATAGCATGTTTGCATTCATTCATCTGTTTTACATACACCGGGTTCGGCGCATCATACTAACTGCATTTGTATTTCAATTCCGAGTTGAATACTTGTTAGTTGTAGCAATTCACATGCCATCTTTAGAATAGCCGAGCCTATCTTAGTTGCATTTTGCATCTGTTGCATTAGGCATTTCTGTATAGTTAGGATCATGCATGGATTTCTAACATAGCTTTTGTTTTGGCTTGGAGTACTCAGTAAGTGTTTATGCTTTAGCATCCTTGCATGTGTGTGAGTGACTGCCATGATAGCATGCTTACCATGAGGCTATGTGCTTATATGATATAACTGCCTGAATGCCTGTGGGTGAAGGTTGGGTTATTTGAATTGGAACAATTCATCAATTGTGAGTTTTAAGCCCACTAGATAGTGGCAAATCATCTTGTTTTCTAAGCCCACCTGAGGGTGGCAAATCCACATTTTAGCCTACTTGCGAATAGCAAACCATTTTCAAAACAAACATGAGATTTTTTGTTTCAATTCAGGCGATCCAGTCTATACTTGTATGCTGTGCGCATCACATAGTAAATCTAGGCTAATAACCGGAATAAGAACACATAATGTTTTCAAAACTAGATATCATGGTTAGTAGAGGCCGAACTTTGATCAGGCAAGCGGGGGTGCTCACGAAGTGACCTTCCCCAATCGTACCCAAGTTCTCGAGCCGAAGCAACTTTGGTGATGACGGACACGTGGCCTTAGGCAACGAGTCAGGGTTTCCTAAATTCCCCCAAAAATAAATATTTAGGTGGCGACTCTGTATCTGGCGAAGCAGTCCATGTTTGGTACTTCTTTCAAAAAATCTGTTTTCAAAAAATGATTTGCCGGATTTGGACTCTTTGATTATTCATCGGTCTTGCATTGCACTCTGCGAGATTAGATACAGGACCGTGACTTCGAGTCCTGAACTGTAGTGAGCCCAATGAACAAAACGGGGGGGATTTCCTCCTGGGACGTTTGGGGACGTCTACACTAACACACTCCACAATCCATTTTATCCATCTTAACCCAAAACCAAACTTCAGGAGCATAGAATATAGAAACCCCCAGCTGACTGAATCGTATGCCTTCTCAAAATCAAGTTTAATGATCACACCCTTCTTCTTGGATTTCTTCCACCCATCTACCACTTCATTGGCAATCAAAACCCCATCTAGTATGTTCGTCCCTCCCATAAAGGCTGATTGGGTCTCACTAATGATGCAGGGTAGCACTTCTTTTAATCTTCTTGAAAGGACCTTAGTTAGGACCTTGTATACTGATCCTACTAAACTGATTGGCTTATAGTCTGTTAAGCCCACAGGGTTTTCCTTTTTAGGGACAAGAGTAATAAAGGAGTTATTCAAACCCTTCACCAATCTGCCATTACTATAAAATTCCTTTATAAAATTGAGAACTTCCCCTTTAATAACCTTCCAGAATTTTTGGAAGTATAACATGTTGAAACCATCTAGACTAGGTGCCTTGTTTCCTTCACAATCCTTCACTGCTGTCAGGATTTCTGACTTTAAGAAATCAGTTTCCAACACATCAAAGTATGGACTACTACTCACTGATTTGAATATGCCTTCTAACTTAGGTCTTGACACCCACTCCTCAGAATACTGCTTCTTGAAGTGCTCAAAAACTGCAGACTTCACTTGACCAGGTTCCTCAAGCACTGAAACACCAAAGGCAATGGATGTTATTTCATTTCTACATTTTCTACTCTTGGCCATCAAGGGTGTATATATACTTGTCATACAATCAAGTCTTTTTAAGTACACCTTACTAACCTGTACCCTTCTAATAGTCGGATCAAGTGTTCTAGTTCATATTGATAATGAGAATTATTTGAGTCGGTTACAAATTTAACAAGAATTGATTTTTTAAAGAACTTTCTATCTCCTTTGAACTTTCAATTTTCTACGAGGTAGTTTTTGGTTTTTTTCTTTGGGTTCAACTTCTATTGTTTTCTTTGGTTCCAGACTAGCCATTAGAATTGTTAACAAAAACTTGTTTATGTTAATGAAAACTTGAGTTGCTATATCCATCTCCTCTAGATTATTCTCCTCATACTACTTTGCTTTATTTCCATATTTTTTATTCAGTCCACAAAAAAGGCTATTTCCTTTTTTAAATTTGACCCACAAAAGACCTTTTTGTTAATTGCATTTGTGTTCTCAAAGAAAGCCCTTCTTCCCTAAGTACATGCTAGAGCATGACTCCACCTCTAACTCCTTCAAATAATTATTTTTGTTTCATTACCAAGTTTTACTCGATACTGCATTTCATGTTCTTTGAAGCTAATCATCTTCTTAAACAATTACTACTTAATCAAATAGCTAAAGCATGAGTGATACAATATCCCATTAATCATAGCATGATTTAAAGCTGCTTGTTTACCAGAAATGGGAATTAGTTGTCCTTAATCTGTGAACTGTTCCACTTCATTTTCTAAAGCTGTTCAGCAAACTAGCGTACAAACCAACCCTTGCACCCATTTAAACAGCATAAAGAAACCTTAAAGCTTAAAAAATACAAATATTAAAAACAAACAAAAAAACTATTCTGGTTTTCCTTCTAAGTACCCTGTTTGATAAACATCTTATCTTACTAGTAAATGTGTTTCAAGAACAGCATGCACAAAATACTTATTTCCATTAAAAAAATAATCAAAACATAAGATTTAACTAAACAGTAAAAATTATAGCACTGATTTTGAAATATGCTGTGTCACAAATTCTTAGAACCACAAACATGCAACTAACTTATAAGGAAAAGAATTGGAAAAATACCTACAAAGATGCAAGCATTAACTCTTCAAAAGTGAATTTGAATGAATATATGACACTGGACCTTTTCTAGTGTCAAACACAAAGTTTCTTGGAACATTCTAATGCAACAGTCATTTCCTTCCAAATATCATCCAGACCATCATAATCATTGCCTTCTTGAGTTTCCATATCATCCTCAACACCAACATAAACACCTTTATCTTTCATTCTTTCATCTTCACCTTCCATAGCATCCTTTACCTAAACATGAAAAACTTTACCTTTTGTGCTTTCACCCGCAGTAGCAAGCCTTGCATTATATTAAATGAAATAGACTCATTTAATATAGTGAATCCTATTATTTTAATTATGAAAAAAAATTAAAACCTCTAAAAAGTTTTACCTAATTTACCTATAATAACATGACAAATTTTATGATAAATTTTAATTTGTTAAAAATTCAACTATATAAAATTTAAATTTTTTGCTATCATTTTAATTGACACTATAAATTTTAAATTGTGAATGTTTAATATTGTTCAGTTTAATAAATCAGAAACTAAGGGCATTGTTCATTCATTGACATGTCATATAGATCTTCCAATGACTTGGCTCTGACATTGCCACGTGTTATGACAGCTTTTTCTAGGTTTGGGTGTTGGGGGGGTTCCGATTTTCATCGATCATAACATGGTAGTCGAGCCGAGTAGTCCAGGAAAGCCGGCGTCTCATGTAGTTGCTGATTCCTCTCCTTAAGTGTAGCGAGGGAATGGGTCTTGATTGGATGCATAGTAGAGGGATAAAAACTCGAAGCAAAAACTCTATAAAAAGAGGGAGAGGGCTCAAGAAAGAGGTACGTTCGAAATAGTTTACTTAAGAAAAAGTGCAACAAATATCTTTGGGAGGTGAAAACTAACTAGATCGTCAGAGTGCTAATTCCAGCACTCCCGACCGGAGTTGTTCTTCTGTTTCAAATAACCATCAAATGACTGTTCCATAATCTTCTTGAGGGATATTTAGGATTCCTAACTTGAACATGATCTTGATCACTAAGTTAACATGGGGGCAGACTGATTTTTTTTTTTGTTAATCAGTAAAAGAAAATCTTTATTGATGAAAAAAAATCCATACAAATAAGAGTTATACATCAATAAAAAAGAAGGGTTCAAAGAGTATCATAATTGAACCCTACAAGCCCAACTAAGTTGGTACCGTAAAATCAACACAATTATTTTCTGGCATACTTCAATGAGATCAGGAACACAGGGGAAATAGTAGGTATATCAATAAGGGATAAGGGCATGAAAGAATTCAATGATTTCATAGATAGATGTGAGGTGGTGGATCTATAAATGCTAGGTAGAAAATACACCTGGTGCAATGCTTTTGATGGGAATAAATGGAGTAGAATTAATAGGTTCCTTCTAAGCCCTGAATGGCTGGAAAGATACAAGCTCAAACTGTGGGGCCTTCCTAGAATTGCATCTGACTACTACCCTATTGTGCTCATGAAAGATGACAGGGATTGGGGACCTAAGCCTTTTAAGTTCTTAAATGCTTGGCTGTTGCACTTGAATCTTGCCTCTTTAGTGGAGCAAACATGGAGAGAATCACAGCTTTCTGGGTCAGCTGGTTTCATTCTGTAGAGAAAACTACACACTCTTGAGTTGGCATTAAAAAAATGGAGTAGAGAGGTTTATGGTAATGTTGCATCCAAATTACAAGTCATTGAAAATGAACTTCATGATCTTGATCTGAAAGCTGAATCTAGACCTTTGGAGGAGGAAGAATTGAAGCTGCAAAGAGGGAAAAGAAATGATATGTGGATGTTGAGTAGGAAGTTGGAATGGGAATGGCTCCAAAAATCGAGGTTGGACTGGAATCTGAAGGGAGACTGGAACACAAGATTCTTTCATGTTATGGCCAGTAGCAGGCAAACTAGGAACACTATCAACTCCATCACAGCAGGGGATGTGGTTTTGTATGAGCCAAATCAAGTTAAACATGAGGTATGGAGACACTTTTCAAATCATTTCACTAAAGATTGAAACAATAGACCAATGTTTGCTGGGGATTTTAAGAGTGTAAGGCTTAGTGACTCTTTCCATATACTTGAAGCAGAGTTCTCTGAAGAAGAAATCTGGGCAGCAGTAATATAATGCAATGGGAATAAAGCTCCTGGACCAGATGGTTTCAATCTGATGTTTTTTCAAAAATATTGAAAGGCACTCAAGGAGGATGTGATTAACTTTATGAAAGACTTCCATGTCAGTGGCAGATTAGTTTTAGGTTTGAATAGTACATTCATTACTTTGATTCCAAAGCCAGAGAAAGCTATCACTCTAAGTGAGTTTAGGCCTATAAGCCTAGTTGGTTCTGTGTACAAAATACTCTCTAAAATCCTTGCATCCAAACTTAAAAAGGTCATGCCCATGGTTATTGGTGACTCATAGTCAGCCTTTCTAGGTGGTAGGAATATCCTTGATGGAGTGTTGATTGCTAATGAAGTTGTGGATGGTTGGTATAAATCCAAGTAGTCAGGGCTACTATTCAAAATAGACTTTGAAAAGGCATTTGACTCCATCAATCGGAATTTCCTCTTTTCAATGTTAGCAAACTTTGGATTTGGTTCCAAATGGATTTCTTGGATTAAGGAATGTGTCTCTACTGCAAGGATCTCAATACTTGATAATGGCTCACCAACCAAAGAGTTTTTCTCCCAGAAAGGTCTTAGGTAAGGTGATCCCTTATCCTCATTCCTATTTAACTTGGTTGTAGAAGCACTAAATATTCTTCTTCAAAGAGCTAGGGAGTTGAGTTTGCTAAAAGAGGTAATTATTGGAAACAATCAAGTACAACTCTCTCATCTTCAATTTGCAGATGATTCTCTTCTGTTCTGTAAAGCTGAGCTGCCAAAAGTTCTGAGCTTGAAAAGGATCCTCAGGTGTTTTGAAGTAGCTTTAGGACTTAAAATCAACTACCATAAAAGTGTGGTTTGTGGGATAGGTATCCCTGACTCTGTTCTTGATGAGTTTGCTTCCTTGTTAAATTGTAAGACTCAAAGTTTACCATTTAAGTACCTAGGATTGCCTTTAGATGCTAATCCAAGGAGAAAGAGGTTTTGGAAACCAGTTATTGACAAGTTCAAATTGAGGCTTGCTGGTTGGAAAATGAGGTTTCTCTTTTTTGCAGGGAGATCGATCTTAGTGAAAGCAGTGTTGCCAAGTCTACCTATGTTTTACTTGTCTCTATTCAAGATGAATGAAGAAATAGCTAAGGAGTTAGATAAAATTCAAGATGCATTCTTACGAGGTGGCTTAGATCTAAGGAGGAACATCCATCTTGTGAAATGGATAGAGGTAACAAAAAGCATAAAACAAGGTGGGCTAGGCATTAGAAGAATTAGGGATGTGAATGTGTGCTTACTCCTCAAGTGGTGGTGGAGGTTTGCTTCTGATCATGATTCATTATGGAAGACGGTAATTTGCAGCAAATACAATTTTCAAGGTGGGGTATGGCTACCTAATCTCAGCTCTAGCAGCACCTTCTCTAAAATCTGGGGTGGCATCATAGCAACAGTTGAGCAGTAAGAGTCTCTCACTACAACAAAAAAGGTTTTTGGTGACAAACTCATTTTGTCTCCAAACATCAAATTTTCATCACCAAAGTGATCTGTGACAAAATAATTTTGTCACCATGTTTGTCGCCTATACGTTGTCGCTGAAAGTACCAGGGGACGAAAAATAGTTTCGTCGCCTATTTTTCATTTTTGGCGACGAAATTTTTCATCTCTAAATGTTGTATATTTTGTCCTCTATAACATCAATTTCATCACTAAAATTAGATAATATTTTATTTTAATTGTTTTGGCAACGAAATATTTCATCACCAAATAGGTTTTAGTGACGAAATTTATCCTCACCAAGGTGACAAAAAAATTTGTCACTAAAATGAGCACAAAAGAAAATTCTTCAATGACAAAAAAACATTTTGTCGCCAAATATTTCAAATTAGCGACGAAATATTCAGCAAATGTGACGAAATTATTTGTTTGGTACTATATCGTTAGTGACAAAATTATTCGTTATGTTGTTTAAAAACTAATAGCAACATTTTTTTTTCGTCACTAATAATAATTAAATTTTTTTTTAAATTGGGGTAATATTTTCAATTTTAATTTTTTTTTTCACTAAAAATTCCTTGCGCATTTCAATAACCTATTCAATAAAATATCTATTACAAATCAATACAAAAATCTGTTTATTTTCATAAACACCACAGTCGAATTTCAGCATAATATCCACAAAAATAGAATATCAACTGCATCGGATTACCAAACACGTCAACTAATATCCACAAAAATATAATATCAAGTGCGGATTACCAAACATGTCCTGTAATACTCACAAAAATATAAAATTTACAACGCAACAAAAATACTTGTAAGGTAATATGAACAAAAACACAAAATGAGCTAGCTTCTGCTCTCCATATTACCAAACATGTCTATCTCTAATCTCGAATCTACAACAAAACAAAACACAAAAAAATAAAATAAAAAAGAATACGAGTTAGACAATTATTATCTTATCAATTAAATATACAATTTAACATGCATTTTTTGACTTAATTTTCAAATCGCGAGTCCCATGCTAGTTCTATAAGTTTTCACAACTTATATTGGTCCCTCCCAAGGTGTTTGAGGTCTTCTCCGGGCCTTCCCGTGCCTGTTACACGATTTTGGACCCCGATGGCCTATTTACAAGCTTAAGTGTTAGAAAAAGGCATTTTTCAATTTAGTTTTCAAACTAGGAGTCCCGTGCTAGTTCCATAAGTTTAAACAAGTTACAATGGTCCCTTCCGAGATATTTGAGGTGTTCTCTGGGCCTTCTCGTGGTTGTTTAACCATTTTGGCCCCCAATAGCCTATTTTTCAAGCTTAAGTGTTGGAAAAATGTATTTTTTGACTTAGTTTTCAAACCGGGAGTCTCGTGTTAATTCTTTAAGTTTTCACAACTTACATTGGTCCCTCCCAAAATGTTTGACGCATTCCCCAGGCTTTCTCGTGGCTGTTACACGATTTTGGCCCCCGATGGTTTATTTTCAAGCTTAAATGTTAGAAAAATGCATTTTTCGATTTAGTTTTCAAACCGGAAGTCCCATGCTAGTTCTGTAAGTTTACACAAGTTACAATACTTCCTTCTAAGGTGTTTGAGGTGTTCTCCGGGCCTTTTCGTGGTTGTTACACGATTTTGACCCCCGATGGCCTATTTTCAAATTCAAGTGTTGAAAAAATACATTTTTCGACTTAGTTTTCAAACCGGGAGTCCCGTGCTAGTTTCGTAAGTGTACATAAGTTAAAATGGTCCCTTCTGAGATGTTTGAGGTGTTCCCAGGGCCTTCTCGTAGCTGTTAAATGATTTTGACCCCCGATTATCTATTTTTAAGCTTAAGAGTTAGAAAAGTACATTTTTTGACTTAGTTTTCAAACCGGGAGTCCCGTGCTAGTTCCGTAAGTTTTCAAAACTTAAATTGGTCCCTCTTGAGATTTTTTAGGAGTTCCCTAGGCCTTCTTGTGGTTGTTACACGATTTTGGCCCCCGATGGCCTATTTTCAAACTCAAGTGTTGAAAAAATGCATTTTTCGACGTAGTTTTCAAACCGGGAGTCCCGTGCTAGTTTTGTAAGTGTACACAAGTTAAAATGGTCCCTTCCGAGATGTTTAAGGTGTTCCCAAGGCCTTCTCATAGCTGTTACACGATTTTGACCCTCGATGGTCTATTTTTAAGCTGAAGTGTTGGAAAAGTGCATTTTTTGACTTAGTTTTCAAACCGGGAATCCCGTATGTAGACTGCCCGGAGAACTCCCCGGCTCCGCGCGCGAGGGCGCGAATTCGTTTTGTTCTTTAGGCCACTACAAGTTCGGACTCGTGTCACGGTTCTGAATCTAATCTCACAAAGTGTAATGTGAGACCGATAAATCACCAAAGACTCCAAATCCGGCAAATCGTTTTGGAAAACTGATTTTTATAAAGAAGTGTCAAACATTGACTGCTTTGCCAAATACAGAGTCGCCACCTAAATGCTTTGTTTTTGGGAAATTTAGGAAACCTTGACTCCTGCCTAAGGCCACGTATCCGTCATCACCAAAGTTGCCTCGACTCGGGAACTTGGGTACGAGAGGGGAAGGTCATGCAATGAGCACCCCCGCTCGCCCGATCAAAGATCGACCTGTACTAAGCATGATATTTTGTTTTTGAAAACACATGTGTTCTTATTCCGGTTATTAACCTAGAATTACTATGTGATGCGCACAACATACAAGTATAGACTAGATCGCCTGAGTTAGAACAAAACATTGCATGTTCGTTTGTGAAAATTGTTTGAAGTTTGCTACTCGCAAGTAGGCTAAGACGAGGATTTTGATGAATTGTTCCAATTCAAACAATCCAACCTTCACCCACTGGCATTCAGACAGTTAATCAAATAAACAGTTAGCCTCATGGCAAGCATGCTTACATGGCAACACTAACACACATGCAGTATGCTAAATCATAAACACTCACAGTGTACTCCGAGCCAAAACAAAGAACTAGTTAGAAATCATGCATGATCCTAGTTCATGTTAAAATGACTAATGCAACACATGCAAAAATGCAACTAAAAATAGGCTCGGCTATTCGAAGATGGCATAAGAATGCAACTTTTCAACTTGGAATTGAAATACAATGCAGTTTGTATGATGCACCAAGCCTGGTGCATGCAAAACAGATGAATGATTCACGCATGCAGAACATAAGGATGCTAATCAAAATATGCCCTAAAACTAACCATCGTAAGCGGTTAAGTAAAAGGGAGAAAGAAATGGGGGTTGAAAGACATGCATCACACACACGCACGCTTATTACAACAGTTGGCCCGCTCGACGGAGGGTCCGAATAAGAAGCTAACTAGCTAATCTAAGCTAATTAAACTAATTATTACAGAATAAAGCTAATTAACTAACAAGCTAACTAATTAAGTATAACACAAATAAGCAGCTAAACGCATTAACTACTTAAATACATAACCAAAGCATAAATTAGCTAAGGAAAGCGGTAAAAGAGGTCCTCGGGATGAGGAGTGCATGCATGCCCGATCGCCTCGTTTGGAAATCCGTCGCGATGCCCCGATTTGCCTCTGTTTGCAACTGTTCTCAGAACCTTGCACAAAGCCCCACAAAGCTTCAACTCCACCATGGGAACCTGTAGGAACATGGTCGACCAGTTTTTGCTGCACTCTTCCAACTTGCTACAACAGAGAGCAAGAAAGGGCATGGCAATGTATTTGCAAGATATGTGTGCGCAACCACCCTCCCTATCATTTCATAAGCTCAAGGGAGTGCGGTACTTGACCCTCGGGCCACCAATCATGCATCTCGATGCATGTTGGCCGAGAAGCCAAATTGCACAATTTAATATGAAATGAATGCACATATAAACACATAAAGCCTAGAACTCTATCATGTATGATCAAGAGGGTCGGCGCGTCGGCGACCGAGAATTGAGGCACGTTTCATCACTTCAAGTATGAAACATCTCTCGGTTCTCGTGTTTGGACTAACACCTAATCCAAACACAATGTAAGCAACAAACATGCAAATATGCAATGCAACTCAAGCATGCAAACGTGTAATACAACTCAAGCATGCAAAACACAATGTAAGGCATGCATACACAATGCAATGCAACAACATGACATACTCAATACAATGTAACATGGCATATACAATGCAAAGAACAACATGGCATACGCAATGCGATGTAACATAAGCATGCACAATGCAAATAACATGTAAACAAACATGCTCAATGGTCTTAATCCGAATATGGATAGACCTCGGTCATGCCCAAATCAGTGGCCATAATGATGAAACGAAGGCACAAAAGCAAATACAAGCATGCACATGCAATGGCCCATCAACTAGGCCTAAGAGCACAACTCTCAAGAGCGCTCAAGAATTGATAAACATGGAAGTGTAACAACACTATATGCACTAAAATTAAGTAATAAATGATACCAAATCATTCGAACAACACAAATAAGGCATGCAAGAGTCCTTAAGGCACAAAGCTAGTAAAGAGGACTACAAAGGGGGCATGCAATACATGGCACAAATACATGAACCAACCATGGACAGAGCTCAAATAGGTCTAAACAAAGACCAAAACATGTTGAGATGGGAGCTCAAGGACCTATAGGCAAGATGGCATACATGCTAGGCCACAAATGAGGCAACAATGCACAATTCTTAAACCTCAATTAGAGAGTGATGTGCATGAGAGTATGACAATGTTACATGCTCTGAAATCAAGTATTAAATGATGCCAAATCATTCAAATAGCTCAAAGATAGCATGCAAGAGGCATCAAAACACAAAGCTAGCAAGGCCAATTGCACTACAGCTATGCAATACATGAAGCATATGGCAAATACAACCCAAAAAAGTCCTAGAGCATGTCAAAATGATGCTAAAACATGTATGAAAGGAAGCCAAAATAAGCTAACATGAAGGGCCAAAACATGGATCATGCAAGGGCAATATAGGAGGATT